ATATTTATATGCGTTTTTGCATATCAGCCTGTAGTGATTTCAGCAAATTTTGTAAGTGTTATGAAATACGCGTTTAATGGAGATTATGAAAGCTTCAAACCTTTAGGACTAGTGCTGTAGTTTGCAACAGAAAGAGTGGGTGGTTACTTCCTAGCTGAATATGTTTTATGCCAAGAGACAGTCTGTATTGACCTTCTACTGCCAAGTCATAAATGTATAAAATCTGCGTTGCTAATGGAAACACTGACAAGCCTTGAACTGCAGCAGACTGGCATAATAAAAATATTAAAATTTCCAGCTGCAGTTAATGTCAGATTTCAATTTCATTTTTGCTGGCGGGCAGCTGGTGGTGGCCTCATCTCAAAACAAGCTGAAACGTCATGGAGGTTTTTCGTTGGTATTGTCACAGCACAGACTCTCTCTGTTTGTCTGGGTGTTCGGGGCTGACAAGCAACAGAAACAAAGACTGAAAAATGCCTTGCTTGTTGTGAAGCCAATGAATAGGAGTCTTCAGCTTGTTCAGGTTGGATATCGTAGCACCTGGGTCGTTTTATCTGTGTTTCAGAGAGGAGACCTGTGGGCGGTGTCAGTGTTCAGCAGCTGAAAGGGGCCAGCTGTTCAGGCAGAGATGTAAAAATTGCAGACTCTTAATAAGGGGGCATTTATTAATGCTTGAATCTATTAGTGTCAGTTTTCAGAGATCCAAACAGATACGTATCTTGTTTGGAAGTGACTGCCTTTGTAAAACCTTAGTATGTCCAAAAGGTCAGAGCATCACAGTGATGATGCTCAGGATGAAACTGCTGGCAGTGGTGATGGGTACGTATGTCGGAAGATCCTGACATGTGCTTTTGAAAACAAGCCTTAGAGCAGTTTCCTGCTGTTAGAACTGATGTGAAATACAGGTTTGTGGTGTAGTGGACCTCATGCAGGTGTGGAGACTGGGGATTCCTGAATTTGCTTTAACTTGATTTGGTTTCAATGTGGTTTTTAATGCCCTGAGGAAGGACAATTAATGCTGCAGTTCTTCTTTAACAAGAAAAAAAACCAGCGCTTGCTTTGCAAGGACATTCTAAAGGGTAGTAGGTTGAATATGGAAAAAAAGCAGTTGTTGGCTTATCCATGCACTGCTTACTAACCCTTCTTCTGCAGTTTTGTCAGAACTACGTTTCTCACTAGCTGCTATAGCAGTAGACTCTTGCGTGGTTGTTTTTCCTCTCCTTGTTGCAAAGCACCTTCACAGCATGCTTTCTGATACACGAAGTAAAATGTCACTGTCGCTCTGCGATACAGGCATGGCTGGTATCCATCCCTTAGCCATGTCTGTTCACTGCAAATCTTTTCCGATTGATTTGCAGCTCTGTGCTCCTCTTTTGCTCTCATACTCTTGATCTTTTCCTTGTATCTTCTTTCCTTTTGTATGTCTTAGATTAGGAAGGTTTCTTTTACCTAAGTATTGAAGTATTCAACTTTCATATATTAGCTGTGTTGGGAAAGTCTGGTGGTACCAGTCTCTTCCAGTGTCCAGTCATTCTTTCTGGTTTCAGCTAATGAAATTCTTCATCAATAAATCTTAAACCTTTGAATCTGTCTGTAAGAATTTCTTCATGTGACTGTTGCTCACAGAGTTATTTTAGATCTCTTATCTTTTAATCTAATTCCACTATGTTTTTTGTTACATTTGCCATTGCTTGTCTTGTGTTAGACTTTGAGTATTTCCTACTTGTCACCACTTCAATTACTAACTCAAGCCAGGCAAGAAAGTCGCTCAAGCATTCCTCTTTCCATCGTTGGGTCTTTGGACTTTTGTTGTGGTTGCTGCTTTTGTTCCACCGTGTTTCCTGTAGTTTGTAACCTATCAATTACTTTGCTGCCTTTGATATTGCTGCTGGACTATTGTCTGTTTACTACAAATCACTGATAAAGGTGATGCTTGCCTTACATAAGCCTGTTGTAGCATTTGGAAGTGGTCTGTGATTTTTTTTTTTTTTTTTTTTTTTTTTTTCTTAATTTGTTAGAAGTAGGTTGTGTTTTTGACCAGGCTGTCTGTGTAGGTCTTCCCCGTTTCTCTTTTGCATCTCTGCTTTTCACAAAATTATGCCACTTCTGAAGTTTTACATGAAGTGCAAACGTGGGGAAGGAGCCTGGAGCCAGCTTCTCACTGGAAAGTGTTATGATTGAGAAACTGATTAACTGGGGAAGCTTCAGTTCCTGGAGCAGCTGGAGGCTTTTGGAGGCTGTATAAATTGCATAACAAAAGATTATAATTTTAAAAATCCAGGGATGGATCCACTCTAGGCAAGTTTTCAACTGATATGTTTTTCAGTTGAGCAGAATGGCCTTGTCAGTAAGGCAGATAGAAAGGTGTTTTGCGGGTGGCAAGCTTTTCAGCTGTAGCCACCTTTAATTCCTCATGATTTATCAGACTTGCAAGTAACTGGCCAAAAAACAACTATAGGATTGAGAATGACAAAGTCTTTGAAACGTGAAATGCCTGCTCGAACAGGGGGTAGACATGCTGTGCTATTTTGGAGATTTTTCTTTTTTACTTGGAAGATGGGCTCTCAGCAGAGCTGAGCCCTCCACGGCAGAGGTCCCTGTGGGTGAAGGAAAGTAACAGCAAGAACTGCTTGCCTGTTTTCTGAAAAACCTCTTTATGTAATGTAGATGAGTGGGAGGAAAAATTGTGCTGTCTGTAGTCTTGCTTTTTCGACTTGCTCTACTCTTTCGGGGGAAAAAAAGAAGGTGTTTTGGATTGTGTGACTTGAGGTTCGTAGTTTGTTTGAAAGCATTAGCAGCATTCCAGACCTGCTGAGTATTCCAGCTGGACTGCTGCAGTACATAGCATGGCCCCTAATGTCATTTCAGAAATGCATGAGTTTTGTTATCCTAAAGCTCGTGTTTAAGAGTTCACACGACATTAATAAGAGTGTGTATATACATATAGCCAATATTGTTTTCAGGTATTATTATTTTGTTGGAGCTGTAGCTGAAATAACTAGCGGAGTTGTTAACCAGTGGCTACTGGTGATGGATGCAAGAGTTGTCTGGAAATGGATCATGGAAAGCTGCAAAGTATTTATGGGTGTTTGCTTTCCTCAAGACGTTGTAAGGCTGTGGCGGTGGGAAAGCAGACCGACTTTGGGGGCCTTGCTAAGCACGCAGGTGTGCGAGATTCAGTGGATGTAACACACTTGGATGTTCAGAAAGTCTTTGATAAAGTTTTCCATCAAGTTATTGAAGGAATGAAGTTGCTGTGAGAAGGAAGGAAAAATTCTTTTAGGAGTTGGAAGTTGCTTAAAGAATAAGAAGCAAAGGGCTTATCGGTGACCTCAAGATACAGGAGAGCCGGTGATGGGATTCCCCAGGAGCTGGCTGTGGTACCAGCGTTGTTCAGCATCTCCGGTCATCTGGAGAGATGGCTTCACAGCAGACACTCCCATTTTGTGAATGCTTTTAAACTCTTATGTAGTTCAATGCCATGCAGATGGCAGAGAGCTGAGCAGGCAGCAAGGGTGGCAGATGAGCTTGAAGGCAGGTAAATGCTAAGTAGTGTGTATAGGAATAGGAAATCCATACCATGCCTGCGTGGAACTGCCAGCTGAGAGCTGAGCATCGGCTGGTGAGTATCTGGTGGTGCTGCTGTCAGTTCCCCAAAATCCCCAGCTCAGGGTGCAGTGACAGCCCAAAGCACTGGCAGGGTGCCAGGTGTCATCAGATCTGTTGAGACCAGGGTGGGGACAGGCAGCTAGATGGGTAAGGGGATGGAGCAGCTGCCTGGTGAGACGGGGGCTGATGAGACTGGGACTCTTCAGTTGAGCAGTTAAAGCCAACAGAGGGGATGTCATCAATATTTACACAGCCACGGAGACAGTGAAAAACTAAATGCAGTGGTGGAGAGCACGCACTGGGACTAGTAAGGTGTCACCTTTAAAGCACAGGAGAGAAAGGAGCTGCTTTACATAGCAGGGAGTGAATATCTGGTGACTCTCCCTGAGGAAGCTGTGGAGGCAGAGAAGACCATGGGTGCAGAAAGGGCTTAGACAGCTTCACCTGCAGACATGAAAGGGAGAGAGGAGGGGAGGTACCTCCCTCATGAAACCCTTACAGCTGCTCTGGGAATGTGGGAAAATCTGGGTTGCAGGCCAGCTCTGTAGAGAGCGCCTGGGATTGCCACTGCTGGGAGCTGTGTTCTGCACTAGATGGGCCCTTGATCTGACTTAATGGGTTTCTTCTTGTGCAAAGTGATGACTTGCTTCTTTCAGAGTGTTAGTTCTCCGGTGGAGTCTCATTTACCTAGCTGATGCAGTGGAGTAACTGCTGAGTATGTAGCCTTTTCTGTGAACTGGTGCTTTCTTGATTGGCATGTTCGATTCCAGTGCTAACACCTTAATTTAGAAAGATAGGAAGATGATAGACAATTATCAGAAAAATGATGTCTCCGTTACTCCCCTCCTACACCTTTCCCCTCACTTCCTCCCACTTTTTCTTGTATCTCACTTTCTTTTCCACTTGTGTCTTTCAGCAGTACGATTGCATCTTATCTGTAAACAACCTTTGAGCTTTATGACCTAAGACAGTTTTGTATGCTAAAATATTTTATTTAGTGCCTTACCCTATCGGTCTGTCATTGAAGTAATTTTTATATTTTTTAAAATGCTTTCAAATATGAACTGTGACTTAAGACTTGTAATATGGGAATTATGGGGTCAAAGCTAATTTTCTTAGGGTTGAAGTAGATGGCTAAATACTGCCCCTGTTTCTGAACTTGCTCAGCACATCAACTTACCTGTTTACTTACGTGATTGTATGGAAGGGTTAATTTTATTAAGGCCTTTAGTCTGTTTAGGTGCAGGATTCTGTGATTTTTGGGTATAATACATCATTAAACATCAAGTGGTAAGTACCTGAAATCTGTTAGTCTCTGGAGTGCCTGTCTAAAAATATTGACCTCTTGGGTAATTAAATGGCCTCTCAGTCTTGTAAATCTCTTGTTTCAGGAAGTTAAGAAGGATGTAGAGCCCAAGGATGATGCCGTACCACTCAGGAGGGAGAAATCTGGCAATGTAGCCAGTCTTGTGCAGCGTATGAGCAGCTATGGGCTTCCAGCAGGAGGATTTCAGCCTCATCCCCCGTCCAAAAGCTTCAAGAAGAGTATGTAGTCTTTCCAATTCCTTGAATTGCATAAGCTGCTGACGTGTATTTTTTTAGTAAACATGAATTATTTAATGTCTGACTTAGTTTTAAGGTTGTAAAGAGAACTAGAGACATATGAGGAAAAACTGGTTCTAAGACAAATTCTGCTCCTGGATGCATGGGCAGAAAGCTTACATGTAGTTCTTAACAGCAGCAATAGGGATGATTTTTTTCTGGGAACAGGATTTAGACCCCTTCCAGATTCCACAGAGTTGCTCTGTGACTTCATGTGAGCTCTGCTTGTATCATCAGGTACCTGAAAGCGACCTGCAAACCTGTTCATAATAATCAAAAATCTTCCTTTGGTCACTTCTTCTAGACATAAAAGTTTTGCTACAAAGTCGGAGCTTTGTGACAAGGAAAGACTCTCTAGTTCAGGTTGCTCTTGTTTGGTAGGCTTGCTTCTTGTGTGAAATAAAGTGGAGTTGATGGCATCTAAGAAAAAGCAGTGGTCTTCCTTTGATTGTAACTGCAGCCCCCAGGATGATCAGGTGTGCAGACTCGGTACCTCTACGTCTGTGGTTTCTGTGTTTTAATGCCAGTATTTAAATCAAGATGAACAAAACCGAGAGCAGAAAACGTAGCATTCTCTGCATCCAGAACACTGACTTGTGATTTCTATTTGGACACCTCAGTCTTTAAAGAGACATTGCTCTAAATTACTCTCACTTTCTCTCTCTTACAAGGGATGGCAGGCATTTATGTTTTAAACTTGCTTTTTTTAAAAGAAAGAATTCAGAACTTACTGTTTCTGGTATGTTTATGCTTTCAGTTTTTGCCCATAAAAGGAGAAGAGCCACTAGTTTGTCTTGTAAAGCCCTGAAATGAGACCAATAGATTTACAACTTTGTCGAAGCTTTCTTCTAGGCAACTGAGGATGTTACCTTCAAAATTACTTTTTTGTGAATCTGATCTGTATGTGCATATTGGCAGTAGCACATATGTGCCTGTTAGGTTGTTTGCATCAGCAGGCTTTTGAAAATCTAGCCTGAAAGATTAACACTGTTCCTATGTTAATGCAGCTGGGCTCTGAAAGGGATTCAACATGATCCTTGTGGGTCCTTCCAACCTGAGATATTCTAGGATTCTGTTATTTTATGAACATGAGCTGGTGGCAGCTCAGGTGTCAGCTACTCGTTCTGGTCTCCCTAACCCTGGGACAATCCCGTATTCAGCACGTCTTGTCCTCATGCTGGCGACTGTGGCTGGGTGGCAGGTACATCTTGGTGTCAGACTCTGCAGTGCTCTGGCTAGTCTCGTCCTCCTGGAAAAAAATGGTGTTCATGTGCCTTCCTTTAGGCACACAACTGTTTACTTGGCACAACAACGATCTCTGCGTTGCCGTTTTGCTTGCTGTTCCCTCTCTCCTGGAAGACTGTTTAAACAGCTCCTGCAGATCATGTTAGCTCTGTGCCTGGGCAATCACTTGCTCCGATCAGAACATTTCCAGTGCTTAGTTGGCTTTCAGTTTCTGGTTCCTAACCTGGTACAATGAGACTTACCATGTTAAAAACAAAGTTAAGCTTCTTTAGTCGCAATTTTCCAATGTGTGGTGAAGTAGGTCTGTCTCTGCCTCACAAGGATGTTCCTTGTGATGTTCTCATGTGCAGCTCTCGCTGAATTCAGGTATTTTAGGTTGGATGGGTAGTAAGCTGCAGGCAGTGTTCCTATCGGTTAGATGGCTGCCTTTATTCAGGAAAAGGAAAATACAGAAGGTGTGCTAAATTGTGGCAACAAAGGGCTAAATTTGGTTTACCCTGTGCAAAACAAACAAAACCTGAAGCCAGACAAGCTGTTTTGGAAAGGGACAGGATTGCCTGGAGGCTGCCAGCCCAGCAGTCCTGCGGCACCACGTGAAGCTGGAGTGTTGTTTGCTGAGTGGATCGGTTATCTTCCTAGGTTCATGTAGGGATTTTCAAAACTGGTAGGCAGTACTTTCTAAACTGGGTATCACTGAAAACACACCTCAGGTGAGAGAGAGTTCTGGATGTGAGATGCATCTGTGAGTTTGTTTTCTCCTCCATTCAGGTAGAATTACAAAATGAAAAGGAATGCTGAGATCAGATTTATGTGAAATGGCCATGACTTTTTAATTTGCCTCTTTTTTTAGTATCGGTTAATGCCGTGCAAAGGAGGAGCCCTGAAAGCGATGTAGGAGGTAGTAAAGGCCAGTGAACCGTTAATTGCAATTACTGTTAACCTAACAATCACTCTTGGCTGATGCATGAGTTTCAGTGGAGTTAAGGGTTGTATTATGTGAGCAATTACATCTTATTAGAAATAACCCGTAGAGCTTCATACTTTTGGTTTATTTGTATCCTGCTCCTTTTAAGCTCTTTAGAGCACAGACCATAGACCAGCATGTAGAAAATTCTTGATTTGGTGAGCCCTCTCTCACACATTTTTGATGCTGAATATTACTCAGACGCCTGGTGTGTTTTGTACTGAGGACGCTGGGTGTGGCGGTCTTCTGAATGTCTGACTTTGGACTTTTAATGCTGCTATAATAAGACAAGGATCAATCTTGGAGGCAATATCTGTGTTTGGTAATGTTTTTACCCAGCTAATCTTAATTGCTGAAGCTTGAATGTGGAAGGCGTGCAAAGTATAAGAGAAAATTATACAACTCCGACAAGCTTAAGCTTTACCACTTCAAGCTTTTGATTCATATTTTCACTTAAACTGTGACAGATTGTTTTTAAGGAGGGTAGGGAGCTTGTGTGGGTCATAGCTTGGGATGACAGTTGCCTTCCAAAGCATGCTGGCTGCTCTGGAAAAGGTCCGAAGGCATGGCCGCTTGTTTGAAGGAGAAATGCCTGCACTCCGGGGTCAGCAGCAGCATCACTCCAGGGTACGTGCAGAGTAACGGGGCAATCGCAGGTTCGCACGGCTCTGGCTGCAGGGGTTGTTGGAAGCCACTTCAGTGCTCTTCCCTCTCGGGAGGTCATTTTGTCTCTTTAATGCCTGCAGAGCTTTAATGGTATCTGGCAAACATCTAAGGACTGCACTTTGTTTCAGTTTTGCCTTTGTCAAAACACTGCTGGTTGAAGCTTAGGTTGACTTTCTCGACTCGGTACTGGCACTGAGAAAAGGGAGGGTTTTTGCATCTGCAGATAAAAATGAGTTTGGATTTTGAAATACGAGCCGAGCAAATGTTAGCATTACCTCAGACCTGTAGTTAGCAAGGTCTTTGTTAGAGGGCAGAAGGGCTATTGGCACTTCAGTGTTGTGCAGAACAAAACATTTGTTATTTCTCTCAGGATTGCTTAAAGACTGGAGGCTCAAACTTGCACATTTTCTTCCAAGCAAGTGCTAACACTGCAACTGGCAGCAGTTGTCATTCTTGCAGTTTTCTGCAGTAAATAGTTTGAAAATCGTAGTACTGGGGATTATCTGACTTGCTTGTGTCAACATGTTTTTTACAGCATGTTGGTAATTGGCAGTGTAGTGTTAATTTCTTTGTAAATGACAGTCTGGGAAGCTCTGTGCTTTTCAGACTCTAAGATACAGCTCACCAGCCTAAAGTGACACAAGCAAACTGGAAAACCAGCAGCAAACATTACATAGCTTCTTGGGTTGACTAATAGGTGTTCTGGTCAGAGTTGATCCTCGGGAGCTAAGTGGAGGAAAGCCTAGTTTTCCTTTGCAAGCATTCTTACTTTTGCTGTTTCCCTTGAATCAGGGTCTAAGAAGCGGCAGTGCAAAGTGCTCTTCGAATACATCCCACAGAATGAGGATGAGCTGGAACTCAAGCCGGGGGATGTGATCGACATCAGTGAAGAGGTAAGCTGTTTTGCAGAGCAAATCGTCTCTTCACAGGGCCAAAATTCAAATTGTTCGTTTTTTTTTTTTTTTACTGAATACTTGAATTACAAGGATGTTGGGAAAAGTAGCGTAGGTAGTAGTATATTTGAAGCTAAATCTAATAGCTCACTAGTTTTCTCTCAGGATCTAATCCTGACCCCCTGGATGTGTAGGGGAAGTATTTGATCATCGCAGCAATAAACTGTGATCTGTTTGTTACACAGACTCCTGTTTTAGGATGCTTATGCTAAAACTGTTTGACCAGTTGTCTTTAAGATGACGTACTCTAAGTTGGTTTAGGTGAAAGATGTTATTTGCCCTGATTTTCCAGTTTCATGCTTTCTTGCAAACTCATTGAAGCGTTTAACTAATAGTAACAGTATTCAACTCAGAAGCCTGTACCTGTAGTACAATATACTTCAACCCACTTATACAAAAATACAGAGCATATAAATGCATTCAACAACTTGTTATTATTTCCATGGCCTTCCTTTTCCACTGGGTAAGAAATACAGTTAAAGATATGTCTTGATGTTCAGACTTTGATGGCAAAGGCCCTGTGTATTTCAGTGGGGGTTTGGGGTGGAGGTTTCTTATGTTTCCCTACCTACATGCTTCCTTGGTATCTGTTCCATTCAGTAGCAACTTGTGTTGTGGGAGGCTTGAATGTGTGGGAAGAGCATCTCTTACGAGAGTGTGATCTGTTGGGGAACCTGCAGAAAAGACCAGAGTGACTGTGGAAGGAACCTTTTCAGAACTAGGTTGAAAACTTCTGCACAGCATGCTCTGACCTTCACTGGTGCCATCTCTTCTTTCTACCTCCCTGAGGGTCTCAGGAAGGAGAAGACTGAATTTTTCTTCCTAGACATGTGTCTGTGGTGCTTTTAAGTAGCTTTATGAGATTGTGTTTTTCACATTCGTGACCTCTTTTGAAGAGAGTGCTAACTCTCCAGGATCCAGACAGTGCCAGGAAGGACTTTTCCATTCTCCTAGCAAGGAAAATGTTATGTTTCTAGATGCATTTGCACTAATGTCTTTGAGAATTTGTTCTCTTTGAATAAAAAGAGCAAGTGACTTGTAAAACCTGCTCACTAAAATCACAGTTTCATAAATACCGTTGTGTGAGAGTGTTTTGTAAAGGAGAGCTCCTGGATAAACTCACCAGTTTAATTTGTGGATAGTGCCTGTGCACAGCAGTCGTGACTGTGAATGGTCTGGTGTAAGCATTTACAGGAGAGAGCGTGTGCAGTGAACTGTTGCGGAAGCTGCTGTTTTGGGTCACACATGTCAACATCTGGAATTATTTTGGGAGGGGTGTTCAGTGTGATGTATCAGCAATGATCAAGTAGCCAAACAGAATAAAAAGATCAAAGCATTTCCTCATCTGATTTCTTAAGGAAACATGGAATTAATTCTTTCAATTTTTTTTTTTTGTCGGTCCCCATGCTTCTTCCATTCTTAATGATTTGAAAATATGTAATTGTAGTACTCAACCTTTGCTACTTCTGAGAAAAAAATATTAATCGAATTTTTAGGCAGATGCTACCAGGTAGAAAAATATTGTAGCTGACTGTTAGCACAGAGCTGTCTGCACACTGGTTTTATGGTGGTGTACAACAGACCTGGCAGGTGTAGGCTAGGTCTGTTGCACAAAACTGCACTGATGGACCAGAAGTGTAAAGAATGGTAGAAAATGCTGTCCGTTGGTTGTGCAGTATGCTGGAATAACCTGTTTTGGGTAACTTGTCCTCACTACTGTGAGACGATTTGCTTCCATTTATATATAAAAGGTGCTATTTATATATATGCAGATAACTTGTAACTGTTACTTCAAGGAAAGATCATTTAGCTGCTTTTTTGTGGGGAAAATAAGGTAAAATCAGCCCCACAAGGGGATCAGTTCTACCGGTTACCTGAGATTAATTTGGTATTTAGCCCTTGCAATTGTTTTCATAAAGTGAGTAGTTACACCTGACACTAATGATTGTGAAATCAAAGGTGGAGGCAGATGGGTTCAGAAATTAAATGGCCAGTAGTGAAGTGAGCAAGCTGCCAGGATCAGACATAGCATTTAGGGAAGAAGGCCCCTGTGCTACGTGCTGGCTGAATCCGCAGGGTTTTTTGTTTACAGAACATGTGGGGTTTGCATACAGAATACATGCACAAAGGGCACGTGGTAATTGTGTCATTGCTGTAAAACTTTTGTTTCTCCTTCATAGCTTCCCCCTGCTCCTGCCAGATGCAGCACTAAATAGCAGATCTATTTTTGTAGTGTTACACTTGTCATATTTGCATGCTGTGTTATCAAGCATAATGACCAGCGACACCAGTCGGTTGCGCCCTCCCCCCCCCCCCCACTGGTTTAGAAGTCTGAGTTTTCATCATCTTATAAGTTGATGGAATTCATGCTCAAAACCAGTACTGATGTGCATACCAGAGCTGTAACTCCCTCTTGTGGAGATTGTATTCATGTGGTAAGATTCTGAAATGGAAGGTAAGAGCTGTGAAATTGTCATATGTGTTGCTGGCACCCAGAGATGCACAGATGCTCTTCAGCAAAGCGTGTCAAACTTTTTTAACCTGTTTTTTAACGTCAGTTAAAATACCTTTTCTGGTAATATAGTTTGTATATAGTCAGGTAAACACAGTTTGGTGAGAATGCTGAAGCGATTACGCTCAGATTTTTATTCTATTCCTGACTGTCTCTGAACTGGCATCGCTTTGCTTGCAAGTCTGTAAACTGCTTTGCTGACCTTGTTTCTTGGTAGAAGAATAAATGGATGCCCAAGTTGCTTTCTGTATCAAAAGCATTAAAAGTCCCTTTCTCATGGCTCTTGGGTGTAGTATGGGTGAGCCAAGGCATCTGAATTTTAGTTTTCTGTAATGTATTATGTAAAGAACGAGGCATCAGAGCCTGGTCAGCACTTGTCAGTAATCTGTGCTTAAAATTTGTTTTAGAGCACCAGACTCTGCATTTGAACTATACACAGCAAAGCTGTATTTGAGCACCAGGATGCCTTTAAAACTAACAGTGCTCTTTTCATTGCTTGTCTGTAACTGCCAGACTTTGCATGCGTTCTGCTTGCCTGGAGGTAGGCTGGTGTTTAAAAACTATGCCTGTGTGTCAGATGCAGTGACCTACAAAACAAGGCTAAAAAAAGATAATGTAAACAGCTGCTGGGTTTCCCCCCCGCCCCACTGCTTTTCTTTCTTATCTAAAAACAGCTTTCCAGCCCCAAAACAAAGCAAATGAAATGAAAGATTTTGAAAATCACCCTTACTTATAGTTTTTAAATAGTGCTTATTAGGCAAATATGTTCAATTTATTTAAGACATTTTGAAAACTGTTCATAAATTTGAAGGGCACGATTCTCACTCAGTCTTCTGGCGTTGTTTTACACCGTCACCTGTGCATGCCCAGCTTTTGCTTGTTCTGCTTTGGACCGTGGGGTATTCCTTATAACTGTTCCATTAAGTTGTGGAGTATTGCAGTGTAAATGACACACCAGGAATCCAAGCATATAACTGAGCATTAGAGTCATTATGTTCCCCAATTCCCGAACAAGTTTATTTCCAGTGCAAAAACGAGTTGTTTTGTGAATAGTAAAGCCAGCAACATTTGGCATCCAGCAGACTGGTGTCCTTAGGACTGCTGTGTGCCACCACAAAATCCTCGTGCCTCTCAGCTGGCCAGCTCTGGTAGGAAAGTGTCTGTACTTCTGACACAACCAGAGCTAGGTCTATGCTGTTCTGCCAGTTGCCTCCTGTTAGAAAGGATGGACAGCTTAGTTTTCCATTACTCTGTCATGTCCTTAAGGACTTTTCTCTGTTCTACCCAATGTTATCTGCAGAAATTATCTTTTTGGAACTTGTGTTTTTGAATCAAAATGGTTTGAAGCCATTCAGTGGATACAAGACCAGTGGGAATAGGACTGGTGGAAACTGGACAAGACAAAGACAGATGGACAGCAAGAATATGTCAAAATTTCCTTAGAAAGCCAGGCTGGAAGTTGCATCTTTATTTCATGAACATTTTAACAGTGATAGAAGTGACAGTAAATTATTTTCTTATTCCTCTTCTTGCTTGCTGTTTCTACATCTTTAATAGGTTTCTTTACAGGAGAGTTCACGGTCATCTGAACTTTCTGAAAGTTGTTTATGCAGTTTTATAAGCGAAGTATGGATGGAATTGGTAGGAATTTCCTTTTGCTTTACTGCTAATGTGCAAAATGTTTCTACACAGGTAGAAGAAGGCTGGTGGAGCGGAACACTAAATGGCAAGGCAGGGTTGTTTCCTTCAAACTTTGTGAAAGAATTGGACTCAACGGATGATGGAGAAACACAGGACGCTCTGGATGACACAGGTGGTGTTCTGTTTGTTGTAAACCCTTAGCAAAGTCATTTTAGATTTTGGATGTAATTTGGAGTATAATGATTGTAGTACAACACAAGTTGTAAAGAATTCAAGCTTCCTAAAAAGGGTATTTAATTTCCTTCTAAAAATATTAATGCTGAGTATGAAGATAGGTGTCTTGTTCCCGAATACACTTCTAATAAAATTGCAGTCAAGGTTTTGATCTTGCAAATGTATATTCTGCATTTTATCACTAGAATTTTGATCATACTCAGAGTGGAGATTTTTTTAGTATTGGGTATAAAATTATTCTTGCATTTAATAGGGTTTTTTTCAGTCTTATTCTCACAGACCTGAGTTCTGTGAGAAACATGGATAACTTAAGCGATTAGCCATGTTAGTTGAGAATTAAAGAGCCGAATAGCATAGAGAGCCTCAACTTTAAAATGAATCCTGTGAAGGGGGCCCTGGTTCTTTGTTATGTTTTAATCTAACAATAAAATGCCTTTAAGGCAGTGTTTACATTTAGCCGTTCCTTTGTGGCTATGACTGTATAGCTCGGGCAGAAGCAGATGGTCCGTGGCTGAAAAGGAGCTGAGTGGTGCCAGGCAGGTGCGTGTTTGCAGGCCATTACTGTGTTCACCTGAAACTGCACTTTAGAGGCATTCTGTCTGTGAAGACCTGTTTGAAGACTGGGGACTTGTGATATGATACTGCTGGAATGGGAGTGTTCTTCGGGGGCAACATTCTTAAACACAGATTATTCAGTGCCTAAAGACAGCCGTGTGGTATTCAAGGGAAACAATGATATCTTTTTTTCCTTTTAGTAATGTGTGCTCTCATTTACAGGATGTTCAATATTGATTGTTTCTAGCAAAGGGTTGCTCAGAGATAGGAAAGAAAATTCTGGTTTGAATTTTTTTTGGTAAATTGTGGAAATAATTGCTGTAGTGTAAAATAAGAGTTGTTTGACTTGAGCAGTCCCAAATAGCTCAGTGGCTGTCTCTTTGGAGGTCAAGTTCCCTGAGTTTAGTGGGGTCTGGTGAGATGACTTTACAAACAGGTATGTGTTGATCTTAATTCGAGAATGCTGAAATCAGTGGGACTGAACAGTCAGTGGCAGTGATTGTGTATTCTGTCAGTAACTAACAAGCTCTGATTTTCAGCCCTGCACACCCCCCGGGGTTATATTTAATGCTCAGTACTTTCACAGTCAGGATCTCTAGTATCTGCTAGTTCTTTCCTCACTCCTGGGAAACTGTAAATGCCTCATTCTCTGAGCTGTGGTCTTTCGAACATGCAACCTGGACTTTTCTCATCAGTGAAATTTCTAGCTATGCTTTTAGATATCCAAGAGGGATATAACTAATGGAAAAGTAACTCGGTTGAGGTAAGGTGAGAAACTGAAGTCAAGAGGCAGTGTGACTTTGCGGTATTATCAAAACTCCTAAAATCTGTGTTGAGGGAAGAGGCTTTAATCTTTGCTGCAATTCTCAGGCATGAATACACTGAGAAGAACTGAACTGAAAGGCTGAGAGATGTGGAGGCTGTTTTGAATTCGATTTATAAATGCTGTCTGTTTTCACATTACTAGCTGCTGGAGTTCTGCAGATAGAAATAATTTGCCTGTAGATTCTAGCTTGTAGGTTTTAACAGATTTGACTGTAACTTAAAAATTTAAAAAGAAATAAAAAAAGTCTTAAAACCTCCTAATGCCTAAAGAAGTTCTTCTCTGAACTACATTTTTTGGGGGTGGTTAAATGTTGTCCCTTAAAACTGAAAAATTAAAAGAATCTTAAATACTTGTTATCTACCAGTGATTAATCTCAAACAACTATGTCTGATTTGAGTGTTTCACTTTTTTAAAATAGGTTTTGAGTGTTATCAGGGTAAAAAGCTATTTAAATAAATTTGCAAGAAACTCTTTTGAGGTATTTTTGGTAGTGCATTTTGAGCAATAGGAAAATTTCACTTTGGTGCCTTGAAGAGGCATCACTCTGCTACTGAGCCACACTGTTTTTTCCTGTGGCTGTTGAAACATGGTAGGGCTCAATATGGACCTTTATTGATTATGACTTTCAGCAGCTATAGCTGTGCAAAGGACAAGCTTTTAAATGTTGGACTAAAACCACATCTTCAGAGAATGCATAACCAATGTTTCATAAAATTAACGGAAAATGTGACATTGACGTTAACAGTTTGTGGAGTCTGAGTGATAAAAGAAACAGCAAGAAATATTAGTGATCTAATGACTTAGTTGCCAGAGTATTCAGTGCAACACTGGTGTCATTTTCAAATGGTCTGATGTTAAATATATGACTAGAACAAATGGGAGGTATTACAGCTACAATAATATTCTTAGAAAAGCTGTTTAGCAAGAGCAGTGCACACAGCTGTGTTACTGCCAATTTTTTCCCCAGAAAAGCAAATAAATAATTTCAGATACTAATACTTTTTCTTTCCTTTTTTTCACTTTCAGAGTCTGTTTTCAGTGGTCCTACCTCACCTGTGGTCTCTCCAGGAAATGGGAGTGAACCTGGATCTGGACCAGCACAGCCAAAGAAAATACGAGGTATTGGATTTGGAGATATCTTTAAAGAAGGCTCAGTGAAACTTAAGACAAGATTATCCAGTAATGAATCAGAAGATAAAAAGCAAGATAAGGTTTGTAGTCGTTCATATTGTTATTTTGGGGTTTCCTGTAAAAATAAAGACATGGAATCTGAAGACATAGTGTCTTACAGATGCTGAATATGCTGACCGTCTTAAAATTTGTCGGTATCGTTCCATAATATGACCGTAATCATCTCAAAGGGCTCAAAAAAAACTCCCTCAAACTTCTTTTGTAGTAAGTTATACTTAACATTGAATCCGAAAGGCTTATTCAAATGTCTTGGTGTTTAAAACATTAGAGAGGGAAAACCAAGCTGATATAAAAATTGTCATTTCAAAGCCCTGTGGTGTAAGACATAACGAACCTGATGAGGTTCAACAAAGGCAAATGCAGGGTCCTGCACCTGGGGAGGAACAACCCCATGCATCAGTACAGGCTTGGGGGGGACCTGCTGGACAGCAGCTGTGTGGAGAGGGACCTGGGTGTCCTGGTGGACGACAGGTTAACCATGAGCAAGCCGTGTGCCGTGGCTGCCAAGAAAGCCAAT